ATGCGTAAACAACACTGCCAGCGAGCATTATATGGTTGATCGTCTGATACGAGATGATCTTTTAAACTGGGTTGTTAACTATAAGGTACATGCTTGTCATCTATACTAACTACTTTTTTCCGTCTTACTACCTTCTTCCCCCTCCCACAGAAAATACATATAATCATTCTTCCTGTATCTCTCAACCTTTGATCTGCTGACCATGTTTCTGCATTATTACGCTGATCATGTGCTGATTCTGTCAGGTTGATGGTTTTCGTTTTGATCTCATGGGTCATATAATGAAAGATACAATGGTAAGCAGTTCTCACTCCTCTGCAGGTTTTAACTGTATGATTAACAGTTGTCTTTTAGTGTCCTTTTCAGAAGTTAATATTTGGTTTCATTAGGTTTTGGTGTGATATTACGATAGTTTTAATGTGAGTTGTAACATCGATGTTCCTAAGGTAAAAGCAAAATCTGCAATTGGTAGCTTGAAAAAGGAAACAGATGGAGTTGATGGTTCAAGAATTTATCTGTAAGTTTTGGCTTATTATCGGACTTACGTGCAAGTTACATCTTCCTTCTTTTTTTTTTTCGTATGACAAAATTTTGACTCAAATAATTTTTTCGTGCTATCCGTTTATCAGATATGGGGAAGGATGGAACTTTGGTGAAGTTGCTAAAAATGGACGTGGAATAAATGCTTCACAGTTCAACTTAAGCGGGACTGGAATTGGAAGGTGCGTAGTTCACTGCTTCAATAAATTTGAAAGAAAGAGTTATTCATCCCTTCTTCATCTGTGCTTGAGTTACCACATTCCCTGAAGCTGGACGTCTTAGTACTTTCTTCAATGATTGTTAAATATCTTCCTGATTTTCTTTTGTTTTACCTGGAAATTTATATCTCTATCCAGTTTTAACGACCGTATACGAGATGCAACTCTTGGTGGATCTCCATTTGGTCATCCTCTTCAACAAGGATTCATTACAGGTTTATTGTTACAGGTATTTTAGATTTTATTTGTGCAGTTACCCATCAAGATATCGAATCACTGAATTGTGTCAGCTCTCACCAAGGATTACCGTAATCATATATTAACCAACACGTTTGTAGCTCTGTTTGGAATAACATCACATCACGCAAATATCTGAGAGATGAAATTTATATGCCTGTCACTCATCTCGTGTATCCCTTGTTTCTCAGTGCGTAAATTGTTATTTCGAGTACAGACATATGTTTAGAAATATGTTACTCTTCTCGTCTTCACTTCTTTACCTTCCATTTTCTAAACAGCCTAACGGTCATGAGCATGGTTCAGAAGCTACCCAGCTACTGATGCTTTCTACTGCGAAAGATCACATCCAGGTGATTGATTGCTGTAAGATATTATATTGAATACGGTAATCACATTTCTGCGACAAAAGGCTTAAGGATGTGCTAACCCAAACTTTCGCTCTCTAATTCGCTTCACAGCTGGTCACCGTGCTCTCATTTCTTACCAAATTTTGTTATCTTACGAAGTTGTTGAAATTCTTCTTATAATATATTCCTTTTACCTCCCTCATGGATTAGATTGGGATGGCTGCAAATTTGAAGGATTATGTGCTAAGTAATCATGAAGGGAAGGAGGTATGTAAATAGATGCACTTTATTATTTAACCAGTCACAAAAGGGCTTTGTCTCCCCCTTTTATGATGTATTATTCTCGTTTGTAGCTGAAGGGATCAGAGGTTTTAATGCATGATGCTACACCTGTTGCATATGCTTCACAACCTACAGAAACTGTACACAGCTTTATTTCTAGTACTTGCATCATTTAAATGAATCAAGCACTAATAAATCTGTGACGCTCATACCAGCATTTCCCTGTGGTTTCAGATTAACTACGTCTCTGCTCATGACAATGAAACCCTCTTTGACATTATCAGTTTGAAGGTAATATATAAATATGCTTTCTGAATTCTTATGGAGACATCGATCTTCTAAATTCTTCAGCTCAATGTTTTCTTTTGCTTGATTAAAACTCAATTCTGAAGTGCTCTCAGTTCGCTCTGCGTATTATATCTTCGAAGCAATGGGCGTGTATCCCCTGTCTATTTATTTGCATCGACATTCCTTCTTGAGGGTATGCATGGACTTATTTCTGCTTTTTCCACTATTTTCTTGCAGACTCCGATGGAGATATCTCTTGACGAAAGGTGTCGGATAAATCATTTGGCCTCAAGTATGATTGCCCTCTCTCAGGTTCTCTACTATCTCCCAACTTGAGTCAGTGTTATATCACTTGTAGACTAAGAGACTGCAGACTAGGGCTAGTTGGGCATTATTCGTGAAGCTATTACACTGGGTAGATTTCTTGTTCGCCTCATATCTTAATATGTTGTTTTTTTGCATGTGAAGGGTATACCATTCTTCCATGCTGGGGACGAGATTCTACGCTCGAAATCACTTGATCGTGATTCTTACAACTCCGGTGACTGGTTCAATAGGTTTGCCTTTTCTCTCTTGTAATCAACATTTCTTCTGATTATGTATTGCACCTACTGATTGACATGAACGGCCACAAGTTTAGGCTAGACTTCAGCTACAGTTCCAACAACTGGGGTGTTGGGCTTCCTCCAAAAGGGAAAAACGAACACAGTTGGCCACTGTAAGTATCGACCGAATCGGCTTCAGTAAACCTGATTATATATAGAACCGTACATCCATTGCATGTTTCTGAAACCAGTCATCTCCTGCTATATATGTCTCTAGGATCAAACCGAGGCTGCAAGATCCATCATTCAAGCCTCAGAGCAGTCACATAGTTGCCACACTTCACAATTTCTTAGATTTGTTACGGATCAGATACTCTTCACCGCTCTTCCGCTTAGATACAGCAAAGGCTATCCAGGTTAGGATGGCTACTGATTCAAAAATCTCTGCTCTTATGAAATTATTCGTCTAGTATCCTTCTTTTGCAATGCCGTAAATTATCACAAAGACCAGTAAATACTACCAGAAGCTCATGCAGGTTCTAAGTAAATTATCTGTGATTGTATTGATCTCATTCATAATGATCACCACAAAGTTACAAATGAAGAAAGGAATCACAAATACTTGGGGACTGATATGACCTCTCTGTTTTTTACAGGAGCGTGTGCGATTTCATAACACGGGACCCTCATCGATCCCCGGTGCCATTGTCATGAGCATTGAGGATGGTCACAAAGGCATCCCAAGTGTATCTCAGATCGATCCAATGTAAGTAAAAAAAAACAACAAGAAGAAGATGATCCACAAATCTTTCAAAGCTTCATACATATATTGTTAGGTGACGGTACTGTTACTCGTACAGCTACTCATTCATTGTGGTCATCTTCAACGCACGCCCGTCTGAGTTCTCATTTCTCAGTCCGGTTCTAAAAGACAGGAATCTTAAATTGCATCCGGTACAGGTAATCCCGCATTACAAGATACGAAGCAATATCCCATGCTTTTCCCCTTTCAGATTTATCACTAAGCTCTATTAGTGATGATTCAACTCCGAATCACAGTTGATGTCAGGAGATGAAATAGTCAAGAAATCAGTGTACGACGCGTTATCTGGCAGGTTCGCTGTACCGGCGAGAACAACGGCGGTGTTTGTTGAATCACGTAATGGTTGATTCACTTTTGTGCAATGTTGGTTCTGTTCCAATAAGTGCCAACTGTTATTGTCGTGCGAAACAAGGCATAACGGTTAAATATTAATATGTTTGCTTCGGATCAATATTCACACCATCATTTAAAAAAACGAAAAATCTAAAAAACTAAAAATCAAAAAATTTACAGTTTTCTAAAAATTTCTAAAAATCTAAAAATCTTAAAAAACTATAATTTTTTTTAGATTTTTCGTTTTTTTAGATTTTTTGTATTTTTAGATTTTAGATTTTTAGAAATTTTAGGTTTCTAATTTTTTAGATTTTTAGAATTTTTAGAAATCTTGATTTTTAAATTTTCAGAAATCTAGAAATTTTTTGATTTTTAAAATTTTTTAAGAAAATCTATAGATTTCTTGAATTTTAGTTTTTGTTTTTGATTTTTAAAAATTTCTCTTGATCTTAAAAGTCTCAATATTAAATTTTTCGATTTATTTTTTGGAAAGATTTCTAAAAAATCTAAAATTCTAAAAATTGGAATCTAAATTTTTTTTTAAAAAAAATAAAAAATTAACTAATTTTTAGATTTCTAAAAAATTTAAAATTTTCTAAAAAATTAAAAAATCGAAAACTCTATAAAAAAAATCTAAAAATAAAAAAAAAAGAAAAAACTAAAAATTCAAAAAATTACAGTTTTCTAAAAATTTTTAAAAATTGAAAAAACTATAAATTTTTAGAGTTTTCGTTTTTTAAATTTTTTTAAATTTTTAGATTTTTTAGAAATCTATAAATTTCTTGATTTTTTGTTTTTTATTTTTTTTAGAAATCTAAAAATTTCTTGATTTTGAAATTTTTAGGTCTTTATAATTTCTGAAAATCTAAAAATTTCTGAAAAAATAAAAAAATCGAAAAATCGTTAAAAAATAAAAAAAAATAAAAAACTAAAAAACTAAAAATCAAAAAATTTATAGTTTTCTAAAAATTTATAAAAATCTAAAAATCTAAAAAAGCTATAAATTGTTATTTTTTTCGTTTTTTAACTTTTTAGATTTCTTGAAATTTTCTCTTGATCTCAAATCTCAATATTAAATTTTTCGATTTTTTTTCTTTTTGAAAGATTCCTATAAAAGCTAAAAATTAAAAAATTGAAATCTAAAAATTTAAAGAAACTAAAAATCAAATAATTTCTAGATTTTTTAAAAAAATAAAAATTTCCAAAATTTCTAAAAATCCAAAAAACTAAAAATCAGGAAATTCAAAGTTTTCTAAAATTTTATGATTTTTAGTTTTTTTTTAATTTTTCAGATTTTTAGAAATTTTTAGATTTTTTTAGTTTTCTTAGAAATCTATAAATTTCTTGATTTTTGGAAATTTCTAGATTTTTTAGATTTTCAGAAATTTTTAGAAATCTAAATTTCTTGATTTTTAAATTTTCAGAAATCTAGAAATTTTTTTATTTTTAAAATTTTCAGATTTTTAAGAAATCTATAAATTTTTTGAATTTTAGTTTTTTTCCTTTGATTTTTAAAATTTTCTCTTGATCTCAAGGAGAGATCTCAGTAAAAAAAAAAAAAAAAAAACCCTACAATTTAATCTTAGCGAGAATATCATGGTTATTTGAGAATGTTATGGGCTGTCATACTTATTCTTCATGATATTCACAATAATTCTACTTTACAACCAATGTCTTTGATTCTCTATATAGTTGTATACTATAGATGCGATTTGAGCTATCAAAACATCATTAAATTCACACACCCACAACTCAAAAATATCTATACAGGTTGGATAAGAATTGGAGTGTATTATGCAACAACCCGACGTGTTTCACGTTTTAAGATACGTCCCACCTCTATAAATAAAGTGAATAATTAAGGTGTCGCCTCCCTAAACAACATAACCTATTGTAATAATTCTCCTTTTTAGATATTTTTCTTGAGATCTTGCGAGAAATGGATTCAAGATTCATCCACATCATTCCTACCTCAAGGTTCTTCTCTCAAATTAATATGATTGTATATGTTGATTTGACATAGATGTATGAATACATGTATGACATGGATGTATACATGTATGTATGTATCTGTTTTGATGTGTGGCGTGCAGGTGTAATAGTAAAACTGAGAAGCAGAAGAATTACGGCAATGAAGAGAGAAGTAGTATGTACACTTTTGTGAGTGCTCTAAGTATGAGTGGAGGAGATGGAGACAACAGTTACTCCAACAATTCTCTTCTTCAGGTTCCTTTTCTTACTTTCTCTTCCTTTTTCTCTTCTGTTTGTAAAATATTTAATAGAATATTTTATTTTAATTAAGAATAACTTTTATATATAAAAATGATTATTTATGTATTTGGGGGTTATTCGGTGTGGTACGATATATTTGAGTTACATTAAACTTAGTAACGGCTCTGTTATTGTTTGCCTATTTGGTGCATAATATTAAGACAAATAAAATTTTGGTTTGGTGACGGTTTTGTTTTTTCCAGAGAAGAGTGCTAGCAAAGGCTAAGCCGGTTTTGGTTAAGAACACAAAGGAACTGATGATAGACTTAAACTTTCCTAAATACATTAAAGTAGCTGATTTGGGTTGTTCTTCCGGACCAAACACATTCTTGGCAATGTCTGAAATCATCAACATAATTAATGTATTCTGTCAAAAGTGGAACCAGAACCCACCAGAAATAGATTGTTGTCTAAACGATCTCCCTAGTAACGATTTCAACACGACGTTCAAATTCATACATTTCTTCAAAGAGAAGAACCTCACGAATTTAGAATCATGCTTCGTTTCTGGAGTCCCCGGTTCCTTCTACTCGAGGCTCTTCCCTCGTAAGAGTCTCCATTTCGTACATTCCTCTTATGGCCTCCATTGGCTCTCTAAGGTATGATAAGTGATTAGACTTCTATTTATATATATACAGCTCGAGTTATTCAATATTTCGAAATTTTCTATAATGTTGGAACTATTTGATTGTAAGGTTCCCGAAGGACTTGAGAAGAACAAGATGAGTGTGTACATCACGAGTTCAAGTCGTCTAAGTACATACAAGGCTTACTCAAATCAGTTCGAAAGAGATTTCACAACATTTCTAAAATTACGTTCTGAAGAGATTGTTTCCAATGGGCGTATGGTTCTCACTTTCATCGGTAGAAACAATATGGATAATCCATTGCATAGAGATTGTTGTCATTTTTGGACATTGCTATCTAAATCGCTCCATGACCTAGTCATCGAGGTATATATCAAAATCGAAACATTTATTTTGAATATGTTCATCAAACATGGTTTGGAATAATTGATTTTGTCATGATTTGTTTTTTTCCTTCTAATAATTAATTAATAGGGTCTTGTGAGTGCTTCGAAGGTGGATTCGTTCTACATGCCGTTTTATGATCCGAGTGAAAAAGAAGTGAAAGAAATCATAGAGAAAGAGGGTTCCTTTGAAATCAAAGATTTAGAGACACACGAGTATGATCTTGGCCACTGTAACCAAGACGAGCCGATTAAGAGAAGTAAATCAGGGCAAAATGAAGCCAACTATATTAGAGCGGTGAGTGAACCATTGCTTGTGGCTCACTTTGGAGATGCCATTATCGACATATTGTTCAACAAGTTGGCACGTCACGTGGCTCAACATGTTGATTGCAGAAACAAAACGACCGTTAGCCTAGTCGTTTCATTGACTCGGAAATAACTTTTATCATCGAATAAAGTTTAATCTTAGCGATATGTAGGGTCATATTCTTTTTTATAAGGATAATGTCTTCATAACTAGTTGTATAAAAAAAAAATTGAATTATTATGAAAATTATACATATCTATTTGATTCCTTATCAATGATTTATTATAACCCATTCTCAAAGATATCTATAAAGATTGAATAGATTCCAACAACTTGGATTGCTACACATGGAACACATGCATATGGAAGATATGTCATACCTTTATATATAATGTGAATGAGGAGTAGCTTCCCTTTAAAAAAGCATAACATACTGTCTGTAACATATCTCTTTCTTTTTTTAGCGAAAGGTGTCGGTAACAATTCTCTCTTTCTTATATTATTATTTTCTTGAAATAGTGCGAGAAATGGATTCAAGATTCATCCATTCCATTCCTTATCCTTCTTGGAGGTTCTTCTCACCAATCCATCAAACAACATATTGATTTGACATAGATGCATGTATGCATATATTTATATATACGTGTTTGTTTATACATGCGATGCAGATGTAATGGTGAGAGTGAAAATGCGATGAATAACGACGATGAAGAGAGAAGTAGTAAATACCCTTCTGTGAGTATTCTAAGTATGAGTGGAGGAAATGGAGACAACAGTTACTCCACCAATTCTCTTCTTCAGGTACTTTCATCTTCTATATATTTCCTTTTTTCCTTTATTTTAGGATATACACGTACACAAATTTCATATGGCCAAAAAAATAAAAAAAATAAAAAAAATTATATGGCCAAAATACACTATGTTTAAACTTATGGATTTATGAACCTTTCATAAATTTTGGGAGCTTGAGGCAAATGTTTGTTTTCCCAACAAGCCAAGCGTGGCCCTGTCCATGTTCAAATTATATAGCCTTCAAATTTTGACGCTAAATTATTTATCTGTGTTTACATGTAAAATATTTTTGTATATATATAATATGCAAAAAGGTCACTGTAAATATCCAGTGCAAGCGGAATAGTTTTTCCTTTGTTTTTCATTTATTTTATATCCGCAATTATAAAAAAAGTAAATATGGAAATTTTATGGTTTCATTTAAAAAAAAAAATGTATATATCATGCCAAACCTAAAAACATATCCACAACTGTGGATACATAAATGAATCCCTAACGTTTTTACTAACTAACGACTTCTTAATTAATTTGTCTCTCTCTTTGTTTTCTTCAGAGAAGAGTTTCATCAATGACTAAGCCCATATTGGTTAAAAACACCAAGGAAATGATGACAAACTTGGACTTTCCTAAATGCATTAAAGTAGCCGATTTGGGGTGTTCTTCGGGACAAAACACATTCTTGGTGATGTCGGAGATCGCTAACACAATCAACGTGTTATGTCAAGAAAAGAACCAAATCCCGCCAGAGATAGATTGTTGTCTGAACGATCTCCCTGGTAATGATTTCAACACGACGTTCAAGTTCATAGCTTTCTTCAACGATAAGCTCACAAGCAAAATACCATGCTTTGTCTCTGGAGTCCCTGGTTCCTTTTACTCAAGGCTCTTCCCTCGCAACAGTCTCCATTTCATTCATTCAAATTACAGTATCCATCACCTCTCTAAGGTCTTATAAGTACTTTCTTACAACTGTCCACTAATAGAGTTTTTTTCTTCCTGTCATTAGTACAAAGCTCATAACAATTAATTTTTGGACTTGCAAGGTTCCGGACGGGTTGGAGGAGAACAAGATGAGTGTGTACATAACAAGTTCAAGTCCTCTAAGTGAGTACAAGGCTTATTTTAATCAATTCCAAAGAGATTTTACGTCATTTCTAGAAATGCGATCTGAAGAGATGGTATCTAATGGGCACATGGTTCTCACATTAATCGGAAGAAAGACTCTTGATGATCCGTTGTATAGGGATTGTTGTCATTGGTTGACATTGTTATCCAGTTCTCTCCGCGACCTAGTCACCGAGGTACAAAATCACAAGATACATACATTTGTTGATATTTTAAATATGTTCACACGCATTCACTATCTTATTTGTAGGGTCTTGTGAGTGCATCAAAGGTGAATTCGTTCACCATGCCGTTTTATGATCCGAACGAAGAAGAAGTGAAAGAGATTATTAGAAATGAGGGGTCATTCCAAATAAACGACTTGGAGACGCATGTGTTTGATCTTGGCCTTAGTAACGAAGAGTGTAGCGTGCAATCACATAGAGCTAGAGCAGGGGAAAAAGAAGCTAGTTGCATAAGAGCAGTGACTGAAACGATGCTCGTAGCTCACTTTGGTGTTGCCATTAATATCGACACATTGTTTGAAAGATATGCACATCATGTTTCTCAGCATGCTAGCTGCAGTAACAAAACGTCTATCACTCTTGTCGTTTCATTGATTCGGAAATAGTAACTTTTCTTGTGCAACCAAACCCGTGTGATGTGTATAAAGTAGACTTCTTGATTTGTGACTATTTTTTAAATAATTTAATTGGCTGGTGCCAATTCGTACACCGAGAAAGTGGTATTTCTTTGTGAATAACGTGTGTGTCTCTTTTCGTGTGCCACTGATGATATAATTGTAGACCACATATTCTTCTTTTTTTCGCGAACAGGAGAGTTCGAACCCACAACTGGGCCACGATAGGATGTAGGATAAGGACCACTGGCCAACCAACTCCGACCACAACATTCATGCGATATATATCTTTTTATTCTTAAGTTAGAAGAAGTCCCAGTCTCCCTTTAGTCTGCTGATATTTCACCCAGTGGAGAAATCACGTTTGAAAATATGAAATATTTCATCAAAGTTTATTTTTCTTGTCTTGTTAATTATATTTCATCTAGTGGTTGTAAAAGTGATAACGAGAAGTTTAGTGGCGATGAAGAGGGAAGTAGCAAGTACACTTTTGTGAGTGCTCTAAGTATGAATGGAGGAGATGGAGACAACAGTTACTCCAACAATTCTCTCCTTCAGGTTCTTTCATCTTCTATATATTTCTTTGTTTTTCTTTTCTTTGAGTCACACATACACAAACTGATTACTCAAAAGATTTAGACTTTAATCGTTTCAAACATTACTTTTGTTGTTGTTGTTGTTGTTGTTGTTGTTGTTGCGTACATGTGTAAGATATTTTGTTTAATTACCAATTTTTGTTACTAATTAACAAATTTTTGTTACTAATTACCGATTTCTTAATTTATTGCAGAGGAGAGTTTTATCAAGGACCAAAACAATCTTGGTTAGAAACACCAAAGAAATGATGACAGACTTGGACTTTCCTAAATGCATTAAAGTAGCCGATTTGGGCTGTTCTTCGGGACAAAACACATTTTTGGCCATGTCTGAGATCGTCAAAACAATCAATGTGTTATGTAAAGAATGGAACCGAAACCCGCCGGAGATAGACTGTTGTCTGAACGATCTCCCTAGTAACGATTTCAACACGACTTTCAAGTTCATAACTTCCTTCAAGAAGAAGCTCACAAGAGAAGGATCGTGCTTCGTCTCTGGAGTCCCCGGTTCCTTCTACTCGAGGCTCTTCCCTCGCAAGAGTCTCCATTTCGTACATTCAATATACAGTATTCATTTTCTCTCTAAGGTCTTACAAGTACTTTGTTATAAACTTCCACTTATAGACATTTAATTTCCTTAATAATTAAGTACAAAGCTTTCCAACATGGAATTTTGGACTTGTAAGGTTCCGGACGGACTGGAGAAGAACAAGATGAGTGTGTACATAACAAGTTCAAGTCCTCTGAGTGAGTACATGGCTTACACGAATCAGTTCCAAAGAGATTTCACGACATTTCTAAGAATGCGCTCTGAAGAGATGGTATCTAATGGACGCATGGTACTTACATTAATCGGGAGAAACACTCTTGATGATCCGTTGTATAGGGATTGTTGTCATTTTTGGACGTTGTTATCCAATTCTCTCCGCGACCTAGTCTTCGAGGTAAGAAATCATTAGATATTCACATTTTTTTGATATTTGAACTATGTTCACGGATGGTTTCAACGATACGCTTCTATCTTGGATCTTTGTATAGGGTCTTGTGAGTGCATCAAAGGTAAATTCGTTCAACATGCCGTTTTATGATCCCAACGAAGAAGAAGTGAAGGAGATTATTAGAAATGAGGGGTCATTCCAAATAAACGACTTGGAGACGCATGTATTTGATCTCGGCCATAGTAACGAGGAGCGTAGCTTACAATCACATAGAGTTAAAGCAGGGCAAAAAGAAGCTAGTTGCATAAGAGCAGTGACTGAAACTATGCTCGTAGCTCACTTTGGAGATGCCATTGATATCGACGCATTGTTTGAAAAATATGCACATCATGTTTCTCAGCATGCTAGCTGCAGGAACAAAACGTCTGTCACTCTAATCGTTTCATTGATTCGGAAATAACCTCTGTTATGGGTTGATGAAAGAGTATACGTGTGTGTTATACAAGGTTCTTGAAACATACTTCTTGACTTGTGATTATTTGATATGTGTTGTTTGGTTTTGTATATGTGGATTTGTGCATATATGATCAAATTTGGTTACATATTCGGCATTAAAAAGGAAATGCATTATGTAGGTCTTAAATAAGTGTATATCGCTGGTGATAGCCGATTCACTGGTTCAGACTCTCACTTTGCATTCTACCTGTTTTGTTCATCTTCATAGTATGATCATTCGATTGCATTCATCTTTCCTAGCTAGGGTTTACTAATTTTTTATAAATAATTTTTTTTTTTTTAAACGAAATTCAAAGTCGAATTAGATACTGTTGTGCGTGCTCGTATGAAAAGGAACGTGCGACCGTGAAAACATACACGAGATTAAAAAGAAGAAGACGAAGAAGAGGCTTAATTAAACACACTCGATAATGGTCCTTGTAAATAAGCTTAATTTGAGAAACGACTATGACTTGTGCTCCTTAACTCTCCCACTCCCCTTTCTCTCGCTCTATTTGTCAAACAGTTTGGGAGTTTTTGCATCTACCTATTATAAAAAAAAAAAAGCAAATACTTATAAAATTATATAATCATGTCCCATCTCATCCCCCAAAAAATAATATATAGTTTGTTTACATAATATATTCAAATTTCAGAAAGTAATCATCAAGTCGACTATCTTGATATTTTTCGTCATTCAGTTTCTAGGTTCTATCAATTTTATATATCAAAACCTCTAAAATGAACATTTGAAAAGAAAGAAATCATACATGTCATAGAAGAATTAATTGGTTGGTATCATAATTTATTTAATATTATATGATTAATAATATGTATAGATGCAATAATATATATATATATAATGCTTACATGCAGTCCATGTTATCTCTAGTCGGCGGTACTCTTCCCTCATCATTGGGATAAAGCAATAACTAGTCACTCTCTTTTTCATTAGCTAATTATTTAGCTACTGAGTAGTACTAACCAAGTCTCCAATAGATGGAGAGTAGACTTTATATTAAATATATATTTTCAGGGCGTCAATTAAACTTTCTATAATATTGATTAAAAGAAATCACATTTTCCATCTTATAGATTCAAATATAATCCCCATACTAGTATTAAGACTTTGAACAATCAAGTTTTTTTTTTTTATAAATTACCAAGTCATGGTAGTTTACTTGTACTCGTTCTGTTATTCCACAATAAAGTAAACGACAGATTTTTCATGGAAAATTATGATGTCACAAAAAAATACTTAAGTGACGGAGAGGACAATTGTCGAGTATCGCATAGATTTTAAATAAAGGGAGATGGTTATATACTTATATATAATAAATTAATTGTGTATTAAAAATTAAAAATTAGAATAGCTCTTAGAAGATACGATGAGCTGCACTTGCTGATTGCTTGTTACTTGGTAATATTCTTGACGTGGAGTGGGTGCTCTTCACATCATGCATCCATTAACGGAATCCGTATATACCTTCGATCTGCACATTCACACGCCAACATGTGTTTATTTATAATCTAAAATTTCTATGTATCGATCTCTTTATTTTAATATACTATTATCTATGTATAAAGTGTCTTTTTCTACAATGTTATGGTGGCAAATTCGAATTTATATCCTTTTAACAGATTTGGGAATTCTTTTACCTGTTAAATTAAATTAATATCACTTGAAAATTAGTTATACTTTGTTGCTTCGTATACATACATTTTTGTTTTTGAACCTTACGCTACTTGTATTATTGTTTGATTTATCTCAAGTCTTGCTTGAAGTCATATCGCAGCCTTAAGAAAAAACAGTTGGACTTGAATTTTGTAGAGTCAATTTTACACAAGTTCTAGATAATTTAAAGTACTGTAATATGTTTTTTCCGTTATATGAACATTTACGTATATATGTGTACGTATGCGTAGAAATATGGTAAACAAGTAAATGAAGCATATATTAAAATATATATACAAAAAAAAAAACAAGTAATGAAATGATGGAGTGGAGTAATGGTAGAGAGAGATGAAGGGAGAGCCGTAGATTCCGTGAGAGACAGGCTTGCATTGCACTTATCATTACTCCTTCCTTCCTTCACCTTAACCTATCTCTTAATCTCTACCTTTCTTTTTTCTGCAGTAATTAACATTATATATTTTCCAAAATTTAAACATCACTCAACAGTCCACACCAATGAAATCATCTATGTTTAACCAAATTTGTATAGTAAAAAAAAGTTTACAGTTCATTTACGTTTGATTTAGTTTTAGTACAAGCTAGCATATTTTCGAACATGTTAAGATCTGTGAAAAGTATATATAAAACATTTACATACAGTATGGAATTTATGAACTATATAATATATATTTTGTTTTTTTAATAGTGAATATTTTTAATAATAGAGCTGAGGTTGTACTGTGGAATCATAGAATCAGATCAACTATAGTAAGTCTGTCTTTTTTTTTGTTTTTTTACTATTTTGAAGTGATATGTTATATGTGCCTAAAATTTGTTAAGAATTCACTCATCGATGTGAAAAGTAAAAAACTAATTTGAACAAAAAAACCTAACGAAACTATTTTATGTGTGATCACACCCCCAAAAATAAATCGTTATACAGAGTACATAAACGGATAACGAAGTGGAACAAACATATATTACTATATAAATTGTCTAAAATTGAACATTTTTGGTTGTAAATGGTTACACACACTCTTTCTCTCTCTTTCTATCTCATTGTATTGTGATTAGTTTGCCAAGTTGGGCAAATGGTAGAAGAGAGACAATAACAGAAGTACTAAAATTTAAGAGGCTACAAAAGGACAAGTCCAAACATATTCACACACTTAAAAAGCTTTTTCTCATATATTTTTGTTCTATATGTGTGGTGTCTCTCTTTGACTCCTCTCTTCCTAAATCACTCACTATTTATGTATCCATCTCTCCACACATCTCTCTCCATCTCACACACATCTTCCTCTTAGCACATTACTATATATGCATCTCTCATCCTTAACTTCTTCATATCAACAACACAAATCATCTTCTTCATTCTTGATCGTCGTCTCTTGGTCTTAATCTTTCATCTTAATGGAAGCGTTCGAAGAGGCGATAGCGGCCTCAAAGGAGCAATCTCTGATCCTTAAAGGGAAGCGGACAAAGCGACAACGTCCACAATCTCCTATTCCTTTCTCCATCTCCCCTCCTATAGTTTCTTCCCCGGCACGCGACATTGAAGAAGAACCCATTGATCACGATCGCAAGGAAAATGCAATAGGCAATAACGTTGAAAACCGCAAAAAGGATGGTGTGACGTCTTCATCTTCATCAGCCTCTTGGTCCTCCAACAACAACCCAACATTGAAGACCGAAGAAGACGAAGAAGATAAGGATATAGCCAATTGTTTGATGCTCCTTGCCCAAGGACACTCCCTTCCCCACCACAACCAACAGCTCAAGATTCCTTACCACGAAACAAACAACAATAACACGTATAGATTTAGCAGCAGGAGGTTTCTAGAGACTTCTTCATCTAACGGTGGTGGTAAAGCCGGTTACTACGTTTATCAGTGCAAAACATGTGACCGGACCTTCCCTTCTTTTCAGGCTTTAGGCGGCCATAGAGCTAGCCACAAAAAACCTAAAGCCACCTCCTTTTACTCCAACCTTGAACACAAGAAGAACATGTACGAAAACGACGCCGTTTCACTCGTCACAACGACAACTATTCACAATAACAACAAGAACAATAACAATAGATCGCTTGTCGTGTACGGTAAGGCAGGTAACAATAAGGTTCATGAATGTGGAATCTGTGGAGCGGAGTTTACGTCTGGACAAGCCTTAGGTGGCCACATGAGACGGCATAGAGGTGCGGTGGTTGTCGCGGCGGCACCTCCCACCGTGACGGTGGCCACGGCTGCGGCCAACACGGAGCTATCGCTGTCTTCGATGTCGTTCGATCAATTATCGGATGGTCAAGATCATCTGGTAATGCCAGCGATAAAGATAGCTAAGAAGGCGGCCGTGTCATTAGATTTGGATCTGAACCTACCCGCACCGGAAGATGAGAATCGGGTCAACGGGTTCAGCTTTGCTATGACGCAAAAACACGAACAAGAACATAACCAGACGAAGCAAAGAGAAGAACCAAAGTCGCTTGTCTTATCTGCTCCTACTTTGGTGGATTGCCATTACTGATTTATTATTAAACATAATCTTTTTTAAAAAGAAACATTTTTTAATATTTTTTTTCTTTTTGGGGTTTACTGGAAAATTGATCATTCATTGTTTCTATATCAAACGTTTTTGCTTGTTTGTGTGTGTAACCGATTCTTTGCTTGTTTTTTTTTTTTTTTTTTTTTTTTGAACAATACCGATTCTTTGCTTGTTGCGAGATTCATATTTATTTTTTTGGGTCCTTTTCTGAAAAATACTAAAATAGTGAAATTCTTGTAATCACTTTGTAAGTTTCGATTTGTTACAAAAGAAAATTGTATAAAAACTGACATCACGTTCTTGTTATACTGTTTTGATCAAGAATTTCTTTTTCCCTTTTTTTCCTCCCAAAAAAAAAAAATTAAGGTCATGAAAAGGGCGTGACGATGGTCGAGTCTTACTCCTTTTTTTTAGCATTTTGAAGAAAAAGGTTGTCTTTTTCTGTTGACAACCAAGTTTTAAAATCTCGAGTGTGTAACTTTCGAAAAACCAAAATAAAAGTATGTGTGTTTTTAAATAAAAAACATTTATTTCTTTTTGTTTAATATTGCCAGTGGTGATTTTTTCCCGATAAATGTTGTCATATAGTGTAATTATACATAATCGATTCACATTCTGTTTAGTTGCAATGAATGCTTTTCCTAGATTCCAGGATCTCCATATCTTCTTAAACTTTATAATACAAAAATATACTAGATGTTCTACATGTATAAGCTTTATATATGTTTTACCAACGCTCTAAAAGAATTAATATACATTCACTTCAAATCTGAATCTAGCTATATTTTGTTCACTTCACCAACATCAAAGTCGGCTTTCCGGGATCAAACTGCATGCTGTTTTACCTTTTCTTCTAATCTCTTCGAGATGCCTGAAACCGACAGAGTCAGAGTAAATGGGCCTATAAACTCATGATCCGGCCCAAAATATAGTACTTAGGCTTAGATTGCTAAATTTCTAGTTTCTACCTACAAGTTTAGATATTCGTTCGACCGAGACATACCCCGCAAAACGACAAAGAGGCGGCACAATTACAAACAAATTCTAGGGGTTTTATTAGTAAACAAAAATTAATAACGGAAATATAAAAACGGAAAAAAGGGCGAGATATCGAAACCAAAATCCGAAATGCAGTCGTTTAACAGTCGGCGAAAGGAACAAAATTTCTTGCGATTTAAGGTACCCTCTTCTTGGGTGAGAGAGACTTGGCTAAAGGTGATAGAAGAACAAGAGCGGGTCTTCGTCAATGGGACGCGGCTTCGTAACTGGTGAGGCTTTTCCGGCGGCGACATCGGTCCCTCCTACTGTCCTATTTCACCCAACCGATGAGGAACTCGTTAGCTATTACTTGAAGAGGAAGGTTATGGGGAAACCCCGCTTCGATGTGATTGGGGAAAGCGATATTAACAAGCTCGACCCCTGTATCTTACCAGGTTCTTTCTTTGTTCTGCGTAAAATCCTTCCGCTGTTTCTTGACACTTATGCGCGAGATTTAATGCTTCCGATTTCGGATTTTTGGGTCTGTGTTAGTCTTTAACGTTTGTTGTGTGAGTGATAAGTCTACGAAATGCGGTTTAACTCAGTGAGTTCTGGGAATTTCTGTCTCAATTTTTTTGGCTTGTGCTTTTGTCCTTAGGTTATACGATGTTGAAACACGAGCATATCGAACATTGACCCTTAAAGTACAAGCCTTTCTTATGTTTACTTGGAAATCTGATGCCTTTCTTATGTTTACTTGGAAATCTGATGCCTTTCTTATGTTTACTTGGAAATCTGATGCCTTTCTTGCAAATTTCTGTTCTGGAATTGGTTGGTTGTGTTTCAGGAAATGCAGTTTGTTTGGTGGGTCTTTGGTTCAGACTATTGAGTTGCTGTGTATAGTCATAGTGATTTGTCTTCTCTTTGTGTTTCGGACAAGGAGTGCTACTTTTTCAGCGCTGTGCATAAGTACCGCACTGGTGGTACTAGAGTGAGCCGAGCAACGATCAAAGGCTACTGGAGACAAAGCGGAAAAGACAAGAAGGTCCGCCGAGGAAACCAGTTGATTGGTATGATAAAGACTCTTGTCTTTCACAGTGGGCGTGGTTCAGACCGTCGGCGAACCAATTGGTTGATCCATGAGTATCGCCTCGTTGAAGATTAACCAGAACATAATCAGGTCTGTATTTTGTCTATAAGATTCTTTTGGAAAACTAATCGCTTTCAGATATGGTTTAAGGATTCTTGATGTTGCATTGTCACTAGCTAGAACTGGAAATCAACAATCTTTCGGTGGTATTGACTCTGGACTCACTTGTGTCTATGGGCGCAGAAACGTGGGTACGTGTTGTGCAGATTGTTCCAGAAGAATGGCATCCGGAATGCCTTCTTCTTGGGAAATGTGAAAGCAGATCATTTCCCACTTGTTGTGGATGCCAATGGCAAGAACAAGACTCAACAGGTTTGTGTGGTTCTTCATACTTTAGGTTTCTCTCCCTTTTCATGTAACTGTTTTGTGCAGGAAAATCAGTCGCAGAGAAAGCTTCTCATCGACCTCAACACGCTCCGAAGAGAGTTCGAGATAGGAAACAATGACGGTGAGCCACTGAAGAGAGGAGAATCTGCAGCACAAGTACTTCCTATTTGTGTCCTCAACAAAGAAGCTCCATTGCCTATCATCCAATACAAACGCAAGCGCCAAGATGGATCCTCTGCTGCTATTTACAACAACTCGAGACAAACCACTCATCAGGACCATTGTTCCTCCACAACAACAACCGTCGACACATCCACTCCTGCCATGGCCGCCGCGCTGCTCGAGTTCTCTCTCAGGGCTTGTTCCGACAAGGAAAAGAATCTTCTGCTCATGGAGAACAATCCAGAACTACCAGCTGCTACAATGGCGCCCGCAGCAAGCTCATCCACCAAACTCATCTACGATCTGCAGAAGGAGAAAGACCTGATAGCTGCGGAGAGAGACAAGTTAAAGTCTGATTTGATAGAGGCAGAAATGATGCAAAACATTCTTCAGGGGCAGATTAATGCATTGCGTGAGGAGAACGAGGAGCTGAGGAAGAATAACTGCAGCAACAACAACATGGAACTATGCTTTTAAAAGGACAGAACAAAAAAACCTTATTAACCATGGTCTCTCTTGTAAATCTCTAGCTTACGGTATCCATGGAGACTTAGTCCTATGAGCTATGGATGGATTGTGAACGATAATGTGAATCTCTTCTCTATTGTAAAGTTAGGGTAAAAAATCTGATCTCACTCAGACATAGTTGTCTTTCTTTTTACCCAAGTTTCTGCTTCTGTTGAGAACATTTGCAGTTTCTGTATTGTCAAATACCAACATCTACTTCTTTTCTCCTGGCAACTGTTCTTTGTCTCTTAAGAATGTTGAATCTCCATGACAAGAGCTTCGTTTGAGTCTTTCGTAGGTCAATGTCAAACAATGCTTAATGGTGACAATGGAGGTTTTTCCTGTAATTTCGATGGATAGCGTTACAGATCCTATCCTACGAATGTGGCTGCGTGCGTCAGGACGTTATCAAGCCTATCAGACTTTAGTTTCACGTAATTGCAATATTTCTTCATAATCTCCTTTTAAAAATAAACAAAACGGGTTTGGTGAAAATGTAATGGATCATACTTTCAAAAAAGAAAACGGATAAATTGTTTCTGTACATAAATGGATAATATTTCATTCTAATCGTCCTAAAATATTTTTATAAATCAAGTAATGATCAGATATATAAAATATGGATAGTTACATGATACATGCGTTGTTTTTTGTTTTTTATAGTTTCTCGTTAGGTCAGCATGATTACCACGTTTCATATTCATCGGAAAATATTTTATACAAACAACAAAATTAAAGTAAATAAAAATGATCAAGTACACGAAAGAAGTTATGATTTTTTAAGGAAAGAGATTTATATCTTATTAAATAAAATATGTCTATAGATATAAGTTTTATGAATAAGTTCATATTTATAAAAGGTACGTATAAATATTTACTATAATATAATTTTGATATAATCTTTTTTTTTTGCTAACTGATTATAATTTGATTTTGATATAATCATTGTAGGGTACTTTTATAATGTGTTGTCTAATTTTACTCTTAAAATAAAATTTATGTGAGTAATCCAACTGTAAATAGAATTGAGATAGTGAATAATGATACAAACCAATAACTAAAAATGAACACATGAAATAACGTTATTAATTTATAGTATATATAGACATATTGATTTTAATAAACAGATTTTTTTGTAACTGATTTTAATTTAATGGACAGTTCAAAACGAACAACGTAATTAATGATATTTTAGAATCCGTCGAAAGGAACAAAACTTCCGTATTTGAAAATTGAAATTCGAGATTACATAATATATTATTGAGTGAGATATTCCAAGAAAATAAATAGCCTGAAAAAACAGATTTCTCCCAACGACCTCAACACGTTGGAATCTTCTAGAATCACAAATATTAGCAAAGGTGTTGACGTGTCACCTAACTAGATGCGGTCACAAAGCAAATATCACCAAACCGTCACTGAAAATTTCTCTCCAATCTCACCTTCGTAGAAGATTTTTAAACCTTCGCTGCCAAATTTCTCCCCTTTTCTTTTTTTTCTTATTCTTTCCACGGTTGCTTAATACTATTTCCAATGGCATCGTGATCGTCTTTATCTCTCTCTCTCTCTCTCCTCCTTTTATTGCGTCTTTTCCAATTTTCCCAATTCTTCTTAAAACCCTAATTTTCGTTATCTAATTATCTGTAATTCTTACCTCGAATCGGCGAACTTCTACCCACCAGAAAAAAACCCTTACTTTCTTCAAGCTCGAGTTTTGCGTTCTGGTTCATCGATTGATGGGTCGCGGCTCAGTGACGTCGCTTGCTCCTGGGTTCCGTTTCCACCCTACGGACGAGGAACTCGTTCGCTACTACCTGAAGCGCAAGGTCTGCAACAGACCCTTTAAGCTCGACGCTATTTCCGTCACCGATGTATACAAATCCGAGCCCTGGGATCTACCAGGTTATTTTCCGCATCTCTCTTCTTTTTCTCTCTCGGTAGTTAGATCGAATTCCGCAGCTCGATTATGATCTAGAATTCTGCTTAATTCGATTGATTTTGTCTTTTTTGGGGGGTTGTGATATAGATAAGTCGAAGCTGAAAAGTAGAGACTTGGAGTGGTACTTCTTTAGTATGCTGGATAAGAAATACCGTAATGGTTCAAAGACGAATCGGGCGACGGAGAAAGGCTACTGGAAGACGACGGGGAAGGACCGAGAGATTCGTAATGGTTCAAGGGTTGTTGGGATGAAGAAGACGCTTGTTTATCACAAAGGTCGAGCTCCTCGTGGTGAAAGGACCAACTGGGTTATGCACGAGTATCGGCTTTCTGATGAGGAACTGAAGAAAGCTGGAGTGCCACAAGTAAGATCTGTTGGATTTCTTCTGTTTACTTTTTTTTTCTAATCTGAAAGTTTAATTTTTTATGCCAATGGATTGAGTTATTGACTTTGTTGAGTCTTTGTGGTGGTGGGTTGGTGGCAAAGGATGCATATGTGCTATGTAGGATATTCCAGAAAAGCGGCACGGGGCCTAAGAATGGGGAGCAGTACGGTGCACCGTTTCTTGAGGAGGAGTGGGAAGAGGATAAAATGACATTTGTACCAGACCAAGATGTTTTCAGTGAAGGATTGGCTGCTGCTGATGATGTTTATGTCGACATTGATGACATTGACGACATTGACGAGGTTTGTGATAAGCTAGTAGTAGCTCATACCTTTTTCTTCAACAAATCCAGAAATGATTTATCTTTATGATCAATGTATAGTATGAGAGTGTTTAGCGATGTGGTTAGATATATGGTGTGGGGTTTAGCAAATGCTAGAGAGTCATAAGTGATGTAGTTATAGATATGGAACAGGATACTTGTTTAATTTATCAATTGGGAGTGTATTTTAGTTTGCTTAGGTTCATGATGGTAACATACATTTCTACAGTATCTTATGGTTAAAGATTCGTTCATGGCATTTCGTTTTTATGAATCCTGAATCCGATTTTCTTTTGCAGAAGCCTGAAAATCTGGTGGTCTATGATGCCATTCCTGTTCCACCTAATTATTGTCATGGAGAATCAAACAACAATGTTGAATCAGGAAACTACTCGGACTCTGGTAATTGCATTCAACCAGGAAACTATGCTGTTGACTCTGGTAATGGCATTCAACCAGGAAACTATGCTGTTGACTCTGGTGGCTACTTTGAACATCCAATTGAAACATTTGAGGAAGATCAGAAGCCTATCATTCGGGATGGTAGCATTCAGCCTTGTTCTCTGTATCCGGATGAACAAATTGGTTGTGGTGTGCAAGATGAGAACGCGGTGAATCTGGAAACTTCCAACAATAACGTGTTTGTGGCTGATACTTGCTACAGTGACATTCCTATTGATGCCAACTATTTGCCTGACGAGCCGTTCCTCGATTCTGGCAACAATCTTCCACTCAGCGATGGTCTATTCCTGGAAACGAATGATCTCAGCAGTGCTCTACAAGATGGTTTCAACTTTGAAGATTATCTGAACTTCTTTGACGATGAGGGTACTCAGAATTTGAATCTTGATGTTTCTCAATTGATTGGATCTGAAGATGCTCTTCCTGACCAAGAAGGCGTCGACCCGATAGTAAGATTCTTGCTTTCAACGTGCTTAGTTTTTCTTTATGTTGTGTCCTTTCTAACTTACCTTTACACCAACAGCCTTCCCCTGAAGAATTGGAGAAGGAGGTCGCAGAAGGCAAAGAGGCGGTGGAGAAAAAGGAAAGGGGCGAAGGCTCTTCCTCAAGACAAGATGCAGATGTCACGGACTTCGATTCAGGTAACACTCAGATCCTCATAGATTCCTTGTAAAACAAATCAATTGATGACCGATTCTGACTCTTCTGAAACTGAACCTTGCAGCTTCAAAGTATCCTTTCCTCAAGAAGGCGAGCCACATGTTTGGAGCCATGCCTGCTCCACCTTCATTTCCTTCCCAGTTCAAAACAAAGGATGCAATGCGGCTACACGCAGCACAATCTTCAGGTTCGGTTCACGTTACTGCAGGTATGATCAGAATATCAAACATGACTCTAGCAGCGGATACCGGTATGGGCTGGTCATATGACAAGAACGGTAACCTCAACGTAGTCCTTTCTTTCGGCTTGGTCCAACGGGATGATGCGGTGAGTTCCTCTGGAAGCAAGAGAGGAACTACAGCGACCAGAGCTATGTTGATCTTCATCTGTTTATGGGTTCTCTTACTCTCTGTTAGCTTCAAAATAGGAACCATGGTCTCTGCTCGGTGATATAGCACCAAGAGTTGAATCGTCTCAAGCAAAAACTTTTTTTTTCGTGTTTGTACCTCTCCAATTATATAGGATTTACCTCGGCAGTGCTTTGCTGCCCAATATTTAATTTTCCTTTTAATGGTTTTGTGTAGTCTGAATTCTCATTTACAATTTCTAGCTTGAGCTTCTAGAAATAAGAACATAAGCAACTTTCCGTTTCTTTCTTTTTATGGCAGTCATCATTTGATCGTTGCGTTTTGCTATTTGATATTATTACTGGAGGGAAACTTAGGTTTTAAACGTTTGAAACTGAAATGATATTACCATAAAAAAAAAAAAATTGTAAACTCTGCCAATAATAAACAAGGGGAAAGTAAAAAGCATCCAACAAACAAATTGTTTCTGAAACTTTGTAATAAATAAGATAGAACTTATATCCCACACTATTTCTCACTCTCAAAAATAGAATTATGAACCAGTGTTTACTTATGTTTCTGTTGGACTCCAACGTTGAGCTTTCTTCAAATGTATGTATTTGTGTAGCCAAATTGTTTGGATTTACCTTGCGATCCAACCCCACACACCACCGGAGCCTTGCCTTTGCACGGTCACATCTTCTCCTTCCTCAGATACTGACTTCTGTCTTCTGAGCATCTCAACTTCAGCTTCAATGGATTGTCCTGATTCCAATGCTTTCTGCAGCTCTGCTATTTGTGCCTGAGACAAGCCAATTAGACAGAATCGCAAATGAGTTTGAAGACGAAAAGAGAGACAAAAGGCGAAAACTTTAGAAGACTGAAGATAGAAGGAGGCTTTATAAACCTCTAGTTTAAAGCATCTTGATCGTTCTGAAATAAGTTGACCTTGAACAGATTGGAGTTCCTGCGAAAATATGAAAAGATTGTGAGCCGCGTTCATCTAACACGAAAAGGGATAACAAAATTCACTTGAGAGAGAGTGTTAGAGATACGAACTTGAGATAGTTCAGTGTGGCTGCTATTAACTTCATCTATCTTTTCCCTGAGCTTCGAGTTTTCTACTTGAGTTTCTGCAACAGATGACTCCAATGTTTTTTTTTCTTCTTTAATGGCATCGATTCTGCTTCTGATATCACTCTTAGAGAAACCGTTTCCTATTCCGTTGAGGGTTGCGTTTGCAGGTGGAGGAATATCTGACTTCTCTGACTTGGCTATGGCATAAGCAGCAGTGACAGAGGCCGCAGCTGCAGCGGCTGCTGGTGACTTAAAGATTTTGGGATGTGAGGATTCTCCTGGTCTTAGTCTCATGACGAATATCTGTGTAAAAGGAAGGCAAGAGACGAATGTAGTAGATAAGACATATCATTAAGAGAAGACTTGTATAAGCTGCAATCTATTGCTGTGGGCTTACATCATTGTTGTACTTCCCGTTGTAGCCGCCAAAAGCTACTAAGATGTTCTCTCCAAATACTGATGCTGAGCACACACTAAGACCCTGCAGTTGAATCATAAAGAATCACATAAGAAAACTGGGATAGGAAAGAAAATAAAACATCTAATTCCGGAGTAGTTTTGGAAGTATCGACCTCACTAGCAAGTGGATGCCTTGCTTCTACATGGGTTGATGTAGACCAAACCAGCTTCGACATATTTAGAACAAGCGTCTCCAAACAACCTGCACGCGAGAGCAAAGAGTTACAGAGGAGAGTTGCATGCAGAGTACTAACTGCAAAAGCATGTTAAGTGAGAGGAGACGTAATTCTAGAAGCAGAGAGTGGATTTACCGGTACTGTTATCACCGCCCCCAACTATATAACAGTTTTCGTCAATGGTTATTGCTGCGTGTCCTGCCCGAGGGGTTACAACATCTCCCTGAACATGAGGCTGTGACCACTCCATCTGTCATAAGTATAATAAATTCATTAGAATATGACAGAAAATAATAATAAAGCAAATTTAAGAAAATATACTTACTGTCTGCAAGTCAAGGATATGAAGATCACTGAAGAAGATAGAATGAGAACAACCACCAAAAATCAAGAGGTAGCGATCGGAATGTGCAGCAGCTGTGTGATCAAATCTGGGAACTGGGCGTGTCTGCCTATCAACCAGAAAAAAAAACACACAACACAGATGTAAGACCAGCTACGAAAAACTGCAGAAAACATAAGTATGGATCTAGTTGACTGCACTTTTGCATAGACTCACGTTGTCTCTACCACATCCCAAGTCATTGTCACGAGATCAAGAACATGCAGATCATTCAGCAGTCTCCTTTTCTTATCTTCCCCACCAAAAACAAAAACTTGGGAACCTACCAGTGTAATGGAATGTCCACCACGTGATACCTACAAAAACATGGAAGATAGTATATAGCTGTTCAAAACATAAAATGTGGAAGGAGCAATTCAGAAAACTGTTTTCCTACCGGAACATTCCCCGAGGCATCAATGACTCCACATAGATGTGTTTCCAAATCAATGAACCGCACTGCAAGGAAGAACTAACACACTCCGTAAGCATCTAAACGAGCATCAACATTATTCTTTTTTTCTTTTGCATCTCACAGAACATGAGAAGGCAAGATGGATATGGCTAACCTGACATGTTATCTGGTGACTTCTTGGAGTGTCCCCCGATCAGAAGTAGCTTGTTTTCCCACTTAAGCTGCCAAAGTGTTCACATTTAACATTTTAATCATGATTGCGAAATTCTTATTCATGTAAAGAACTTACCATCCGATGGTCTGAGATAGCAGGAAAAGCTTCCCGTAAGCTACCATCATCCTCTTCGGTGTTCTCAGAAGTTGATGATTCAGTTTTCAGCTTCAAACTAGACCAAGTCAAACTTCTAAGATCAAACACCTGATGAGTTAAGTTCTTCAAATCAACACAGATTCATGAAACAAAAGGTCACAGAAAGAGACATGAAACACAAAAAGTACCTGGACATCAGATAAGTATCGGCCATTACGGCTCCCGCCGACAACGTACAGTTTCTCATCAACAACCACTGCCGCATGCTGCATTTTCCAGACAGAAGATGAAAAGATTTAAGAGATTTTTGAAACAGCAAAGAAGTTGCACAGATATGATCCATCAATCACCTTGTACCGAGCTGATGCTCGTGAGCCAGGAACAGGGAGAGGTGTCCACTCATCGTGAGCGAGATTTGAATGCCAATCACCAACGTCTATTTCTTTCCTGATCTCTTCCATTACTAGAAGCAGCGACTCAAAGACTACGTCACAGCTTCACTCTGCCATTTTTAGAACAAGTTATGAAATGAGTTTCGATCTCAATCTGATTTAACATTTGGATACCGAAACAAGAAACTCTATAATCAAGTGAATTCTCCACCATCCTTCATTTCCAGGTATTACGTATTGTAAATAAGGAGATAACAAAGAGATCCTAACACCCGAAGGATGATCACGATATCAGACTTGGGGACATTGCAATCACAGAGAGATCTGAACACCAAATTCGAAATTGCTTTCACTAACGCCAATTTAAGAGGTAATGGAGAAAATAAAGGGGAGGAAGACGAACATTAAGATAGCAATCTAAATGGCGGCGATGGTCAGAGCCGCCAGAGAAAGCCAATTGAATTCGGAGCCGGAGAGGGAGAAGATTTGTGGCAAATGCGATCGAATCTCCAAGTGTATAAAATTTGTGTGCTCTTCGATAATTAGTAAAATCCCCCGGTACTACTTCGGTAAATATAAAATACAACAGATCGGGCATACTTCCCAAAATATAAAAAAGTATGGTTAATTATGTAATCCGTAATTCATTAGGACATTTATGTAAATATCATAAGTTACGGAGATCTTTGATAAAAGACCAAATGATTTGGGTATTTAAGAAAATATCAAAAGTTTCAAGTGCTTCTGTAATATAAAGTTCCGAGCCAGCTATGTAAATAATATCAATAGTTCCAAATGCTTCAAGTTTTCAAAATGTTTTTGTAGTTTCGCTTAAAAATCCACTTTAAAAGAAGAGAATGGAGTGTTAAAAACTGTAAATAGTTGGCAAAAGAAAAGGAGCAGAGATGCAAAATCTATGAAAGAAACAAATGCAATGTAATGGTCGGTTATTGTAAATTGTTACAACAAAAAGAACTCAAGGGAAACAAAACTTCACCGAATTGCAATAAAGTTATTAAAGAAAAAACAAATGAAAATAGTACTTCTAGCTCCAAATCTGCTTATCTCCCAGAGAAAAACACATTATAAAATGTCAAGACATAATATAAAGAGAAGGAAAGAAGAAATAAAGCTCCTAGAGAGAAATCTCTGCCTCACTCAAAGATGATTTTGGGATCCCCATCTGATAAGCTTAAGCCTCGACCAAAGATAGGAAACGAGATGGATACTTTATGAGTTTTATTCGGTGGCTCTCTCCGAGGCTGAATCAACTTTCTGTTTAATCATGGTCTCAGCTTGTTGGATTGCTCTCTGTGACCCTGTGATACTCACTTTCCTGTCAATTTTTGTCATATAACAAGTTTAGACATGGGAGGTATCTAACTTAACACATTTTTCGGTCATAACAATCCAAATAAAGTTTATTTTTACCTATCAGTGGTTCCAGACATGAAATCGCCCCGGTCTGATATTTTTATTCGGGCACCGGTCATCTGCGGGAAGTAAAGTGGTCTTTGAGCACTTCGTAGACTGAAAGAGTTTTTTTAATTAAGGGTTGGAAAATATGGTACGTACCTGAGTGATTTCCATGATGTTTCTCCCACCACGGCCGAGGACCAATCCAATATGCTCATCCGAGACACCAATTGTCACCGTGGTACTAGCTTCCTCCTGGAACATATACCAAACACACAGCTTAAGAAATGATAAAAACCCAGAGAAACCATCCAATATGCTATAGCTAGTATCGCTTTATTCTGTTTCTACTGGGGGTCTAATGGGATGCTCGAATGAATAGCGAGAAACATCCTACTATGGAGCTGACAGAAAGGGAATCTCCGATCAAATTTATTCACTAAAAAAACATGAACAATATCTTTGATAGGCCTACTTTCTAGCAAATTCAGAGATGAAGATTTCTCGTTGGTGTATTCTCCTAAAGTTTCTAGATAGGAAATGATCCAGACAATCCATAATAGTAACACCGATTCAGATGGTGCGAAGAGACTAACCTTGTGGTTTTGATACTTGCCTCCAGAACCGTTGGGTGCGTAGTTGACCGAATTGTATCCCGCTGTTGCAACAGAAGGAAGCACATACGCATATGGATGACCATGAAAACC